GGGGGGGGGGGGGGGGTACTCACAGTCGTGCATGCCGTAGTCGTTTGACCATTGACCTCGCATCCCTACAAAGCCGGGACGGAGCACGCCGGGTTCTCACCAAACCAAGCGAGTGGGGGGGGCGCAGTATTGAAGTCTGCGCAGCTCGATGAGCACAACGCGGCACTCCGTGCCAAGCCTGCAAGAATCATCAAAACCTTACATTAGCCACGTGTGTACTCGTTTACCGTCGGGGGTGGGGAGCCTATATATTCACATCGAAATAACGACTATTCGTGCCCACGGATTGATTCCCTATTGGCCAACAATTGGTGCCGCTAGCTAGTCATCGGCAGAAATTCCAAGGGACGGTGAGCAACGTCAGCGATGGAGGAACGCTGGTGGGGTGAAAATGAAAGCATCATGTTCACCTCGGGGGCGACGCGGCCGAGAGTCTTGTGCAGGAGTACCGTCAGGTACAGGAGGGCCGCGTACATAGGCCTAACCGTTCTGGCTCCTCCCATCCCCCGTTCGCTCAGCACGCGCGCGGCTGTGACGTCCTCCAACCTCTGCTCGCTGAAGGCCTCGAGGGCCCCGTGCACGTCGAGGTCCTGTGCCGCCGCCGCTTTGCCCTCTGCTGCGGAGTCCAAGGCCTGAGCAAGGACTCGGCAGTCCTCTGGCGAGAAGAGTCGAAAAAAAATAATAGATTCACGAACTCTTTATCTGTGAAAGAGATGGATTTGTTGTGTCCTTTAGAAGGATAACATGTACAGGAGATCAACAGGACCGTTTCTTTTCGTTCGTCAATTTTAGTCAGCGCTCACTGCTGTTTCAGCCATTCTGCTGGGTATGAGCTCCTTCCAATCCGTGGTCACACAGAGGCCGTTGTAGAGAAACAAACGTCGCTCTTACTCCGTTCAACAAGAGCAATGGTGCGGGTTGCTTGCAAACAATATATTCCGTTTATCGAGGAATTGTGATGGAAACACAAGGCATACAGTAGGTCAAAAACAAGACACTTAAACTACTTCGTAAGAGTTAGTTCATCGACTCTATGGCTGGACAGAGACGAGTTAACTTTGTTGCTGTAAGAAACAATCGACAAATCACACACAGAAGCCATGGTCGACACGTGCACCATTCTCCATCCGCTACCTTTCCGTCGTTCACCCAGAGAATTAATAGCCTGGCTTTCTGCCATGACACCCCCTCACGGGGGTCCCAGATCCCAGATCATGGCCTTCAGAAACGCTTGTGTCTGTTTTCAGCCGCAACGAGACTGCCTTCTTTTCATTGGTCACGCGGTTAGCACGGTCGGCGCAACCCAAAAGCACACACACGGCGCTCGGGCGAATGAAACCGCGACGAGAGTGAGCTCCTCGTGTGATAGCCTCTTTCCTGCGCAGTGTCGTGCCCACATGGCGGCGGTGGGTTCACTTGCAGTACTCGAACAGGGACAGAGGGAAGGCGGGCCGTCGGTTGGACCGGTTCGGACGCTGAACGGCACCGAGCATGTAACGGAACAATTACAAAGATGAACGAACACAATCACAACGAAACCCACGTAGACTCTAGGCTATGCCAAGGGCGACACCTTGGGTAGGAGACTGCAAAGGCGTTGGAAATATCGGTCTGTATGCATGCATGCCTGACTTGTAGCTTTTCCAGCATGGTATCAGGCAACCAACCCTTTGCCTACTTGCTCACCTAAGGCTGAGTTGACTCCTTGGCCTAGAGACACCCACATGGAATGGGCGGCATCGCCAATCAAGACGATGCGTCCATGTGCCAGACGCGAACAGTAGGTGGACCGGAGCTTCTGTGTCCTGCGCATTTTGACCAGGGGGGGGG